CTGTAATTCTGCTGTTCTCTATTTGTTATTCTGTTCTTTTGCGAATTATTATTTACTTACTTTTGCTTGTTTTGTTTTCAGGTAAGTTACAGTTCTATACCGGGTGTTGTACCAAAAAAAAAGGGTTGTGAAATATCAGACGCTAGGTAAGTGTGTTTTTTTTTTTTTTTTTTTTTTAGTGGGGGGTTGTTATTGTGTGTGAAAAGAAAGATAGAAAGAAAGAAAGAAAGAAAGAAAGAAAGAAAGAAAGAAAGAAAGAAAGGAAGATGGTAGTCGTCATCAATAATGGAACTGGGACTATCGATTAGTCTTATGGTTTTGGTGCAGATGCTGTCAAGTGTATATTTATGACACAGGCCGTAAAAACCGTAGCTTTTTTTCCACAACCGAGACACTTATCAAAAACACACAACACACACACACACACACACACACACACACACACACACACACACACACACACACACACACACACACACACACACACACATGCAGATATGTCTCCAGTTTAGCAATGTGGTTATATTTACAAACGAAAATATATTCTAGGATACAAAATGTCTGTTTACTCTCAGTAGCATATATATGTATTTGTGTATATATATATATATATATATATATATATATATATATATATATATATATATATATATAGAGAGAGAGAGAGAGAGAGAGAGACAAATCTAGAACCCAGACTAATAGAGGGTAATCGAATGACAATTTTTTTTTTAAATTAAAAAAGTAATGAGTTTTCTCCTCAAAAAGAATTTCTTCGGTCTAATAACGATTATTGCATTAGGCGGTCATAGTAATGGGAGGGAAGATAATTTTGACGTACAGATATAGTTTTCATTAAGAAACATAAAATTTATTAAGGAGAAAAGTATACTAATTTCTGAGTTTTCTGTGGTAAATGTCCGTCCCATATAATAAAACGTATCTCATTTTTTCAATATCTGTCTATATTTTGGAGATGAGTTATTGTGATTATTATGATATTGTTCGGACTATTTATTATCATATTCACGACGTTTCGGCAGTTGTACGCTCCTGTCTTCTTCACGTGATATGAAATATGACCTGAACCTTTTATTTCGTCCTCATGCGGAGTTGTTCTAATTCCAGTTATCTCCCTTTAATTCAACTCTTAATTCAATTCAACATCACATAGGGTAGGCAGACCGAAGCTGTTTTCTGAGTACCTTTATCATCTTGTACTCTTCTATTCCAGTTTGTCGAAGCTGCTGCAATGTAGCCGGTATAATTTTTACGTAGTACAGTGCTCCTTATACTGACCATTTCTTGATCATATGTCTGTGGGTCGCCACATATGACTTTTGCTCAAAGATGTAAGCAGCAGACGATCCCTTTCTCTACCCTGTATGGTGGGTCTTATGTGCAGGGATTATCGGAGAATGTTAAAGATATCTTTTGTCTATAGAACATCAGGATAACTTACAAAAGTGGTTCGACATTTTCACAGGTCCATCCTGACCGAGGTTTGTAACACCTTTTAGGAGCCCAGCTAAGGGCAAATAGTGAACCCTTAAAACAAAATGTCGTACAATTCATAATAGAATGACTGATAATAAATTTTTATCTGTAGTTGAAGCAATGAAATTGTTCACAATTATTTAGATTTTCGGCATTAATTAACCCATATGACACTAAATATAATCAACCAACCAACCAATTAACTAACCAGCTAATCAGTTGGATGGATTGTCGAGAGAAAAGGTATCACACAGACAAACAGACTTTCTCTGTTTCATATATATATATATATATATATGTGTGTGTGTGTGTGTGTGTGTGTGTGTGTGTGTGTGTGTGCACATTTCATTAAAAACGACAGACAAGGTGCTTTTATTTAGTTTTTTTTTTATACAATTTATCATGCGATCTAATTATTTTTTTTTCTTTTCGGATGATAAATTATATAAAAACTGTCCGAATGTTCTTTTTATCCGAGCCATTTTCAAGGATTATATTTTAACTGTTAAAATTAGAAATTAGAAATACTTTGTCGTATGTATGTTTTATAAAGTTTTTTCATTTTTTTTGTTTCAAAACACGGTCAGGATATTATGTCCATGTTATGTGATGCTATTATATTAGTGTTGTCGACAAGTATGTTCCGAATAGTGTCCGGTAAGTCTCCATGAATATTTAAATGAGATCTAATTGAGCTATGGTCAGAAAGGTGTAGAGTGAGTCTGCGTGTTAAACATGTTGTAGTGTGGCCTGTATAATTATTTACGAAAGTTGATTGATACAATTCCTTAATGGGCATTTGAATTCGTAAATAATATTTGCACTATTTAATTTTGTTCTAGGAGGTGAATTATTATTTTTAACTATAAGGTTAGATGTTTTAAATTTTTTATAAAAAATAATTAATCTAATTTGTTTGGCAATGTAAACTGGTGTTATGCATTTTTTATAATGTTCTTAATTCTGCATTCATCCTGTTTATATATATATATATATATATATATATATATATATATATATATATATATATATATATATATATATATATATATATATTAAATAGTATGGAGAAGTAATATCTATCAACTAGCAGCATGGCGCGGCGTTGCCCGTGCTTTATTCAAAAATCTTACGACACATACAGCAATCGCTATCACTTGACTTAAAATATTTTTGCCCTTCCTTGCCTTTAAAGGAGTGCCCATTGCCGCGCTGATGTTGCTACATGTCTTACTTCTTGCCTATCTCCCACTGCGAATTTTTTCTAAGCTCTATAGTAAATATTAAATCTGTTACGAAAAAAGAACTAAACAAAATGAACACAAAACGATCAGCTTTAAAAAAGGACTCGTAACTTGGAAAAGCCGAATGAAAAAAGAATGTTAACAACAAATACTTTTTCACACCCAACCCAGTTCTGCGGAATCAGAATCAACGTTGAGTTTAAGCAAGCGAATGAGCCAATTAGAGTCAGGTGACATGCAGATTTAAATTTTTCCCACTTGTGACGAATGCAGCTATCGATTATTTTTTTTTTTTTGCATGCTAGTTAACATTCGTGTCAGTCAGCTGTTGGCTCTCACGCTGGCCAATTGAATCTTCCTAGCTATACGTGGAAACCAGCTATAGGCGCTCACTCTGGCCATTAGAAAATGACCGAAAACTACATGAAAACTGCCGTAGAAGCATGAAAAAATCGATTATTTCCACTATCGATGGGAGTTGGGAAATACAAAGTCGGTCTTGGCCTTCCCACTAACTTGGAGCATGTGCATGTAAATTTGGTGCAAATCCATCGAAAATTGCGGCCGTACATTCATTACACACACACACACACACACACACACACACACACGCACATCCTGCCTTTTATAGATAGAGATATTTTTTTATTAAATCTTTCAAATTTCAGTATAGTTTGTTTTGTTTAATCGGTGTATATGCCAAAATTCGTATTAACATTTATTTTATATCTTTTTTCCTGAATATTTTCAAATTCATCTTCAAGGATTGTTTTCTGTGTTGTTAAGCAATTGTTTTTTTTTATTATTATTATTTCATTGTTCTCACGTCTGATATTAATTTCAATACAGGTCATATAAATGAAGTATCTCAGGAAATAATACAAAATAAATGTTAATATGAACAATTATAAACATAAAACAAAACAATTTATTCGCAAATTTGAAAATTTGATAAACAGAACCTGTTCATATTATTGAAGAAAACAAGTTTGAAAGAATTCTTGAGACTGAAATACACCAAAAAATATTGTCGTTTGATGAGTAGATTTCATTATTTAGTCTGAAGATGTTCTTTTGAAAGATGAAATGCGCATATCAAACTTTTTCCCATTTTTTTAATTTATTGACCTACGATTATATATATATATATATATATATATATATATATATATATATTCGTAAGAAGAAAGAACAGTAAGATATATAATCCGATGTTTTTATTGATATTTTTACTTTTACAAAACAGTGCTCAATGTAAATTTACAGAGCATAAATATTATAAATTGACTGTTTTAAAAATATGGTTCCTTCGCTACACATTTTTTTAAATCTTTTTTTTCTTTCGTATGTGTAGCGAAAGGACCATATTTTAAATCAGTTTGAAACAGACAGATGATGCCAATTGACGATTAACGGTCAACTCTAGATTTGAGCAGAATAAGATACAGAAAGTATCCTTCAGGGTGTTATTTTTTAGTTTTTTTTTTTTTGCATAAAGTAGCTTTATTTGGTAAGAATGGAAGTTCTTTCTGACTAATGGAATCATGGGGCTGATTCCTTCTAGTGTACGTGACATGACGAGTCTTTGGTGCGAAAGTTGACACTGGTGGAACTAAAGAATATAGCTTGCCAGAAACGTTTCAATGGAAATAGCGACAGATAAGTGAGAGGCACTATGGGTGAGTCATTGTAGAACAGAAAATAATTCATTACCCATAACGTTGCGTAAGATTCTGGACTCTGTCAAGACTGGTTTTTAGTCTGATGTGGCGTCTGTAAAGATAGAGTATATCTGGCGGAGTCAGGCACAAGAAATTGGTTATTTTTCAGGCATCTTTAGAGATAGATGGTGTATATGAGTTATATGACATTTTTATCTCTCCTAAACCATGTTCCGCCATCAAGCTTACTATTTTATGCGTTGTTTCCCCCCCCCTCTCTCTCTCTCTTTTGCCCGCAATCTGTTCTGTGAGTATCGTATTTTCCAAGACCTCTTTTCTCATTATGTCCCTTAGAAATTTCAACTGTCTCTTCCTGGTGTTAAGTAAAAGTTTCCTTTTTGTTTCCATTTTCTCAAATATTTCGTCCTTGATCACATCTTTTGTCCATGTTATTCTCAGCATCCTTCTGTAGAACATGATTTCTGTTGCTTCAAATCACTTCTTTATACGTGAGGAGATTGTATATGAATTCCATCTGAAGTTTGGGAGGAACTTGAATCTCATCTGGCAGTCAAGGCAAGGAGCTTCAACATGATACGTGATGATAGAAAGCTACCAGTTTGGATTTGAAGGCCTTTTTTCCCCGTGTTGGAGGTAAGTCAGAGGAGAGGTCAGCAACAAGGCGTTGGTGAACTAGATTTTGAAAGGCATGTGCAGTTTCCACATCGACTCTCATTAAATTGGGTTGGCATAAGGTCTACAGGTCCCAAGTGACCTACCAGTGTGGCTCCCGAAGGATTTTGAAAACAATTTTTTTCAGTTCATTAGAACAAATTCAGCGACTAACCACGTACAAAAAATCCAGTTTCTTGGTGGAAGCCATCCACAATTGTCTCCCCCTTGAACTACTTGACTATAAAAGAAATGGTCGAACCTCTCTTATGAACTGTAGTCAAACTGCATTGAATAAAGCATCGTTTATTTTTCATTACAGTAGAAGAGCCTGGATTTATTCAACCAATATTTTCATTGTCTCTATATATAAATAATCCTTTCCAAATAAACTGACATCCGACGGCTCAAAGATGTCTGTTCATCCTGTTAGTCAGAAAATTACGTATTGCAGTTGAAGTCTTTGATCAGTCTGATGTCAGTTAACCTGAAAGAAAAAAAAACAATGCAGTTATTTATTTAAAAAAAAAAAAGAGTTGAAATTAATGTCTGCAAGATTTCATGTCTTTAGTGTAATTCCCTTATAGTCAGCTAAAGAACTTTTTAGTCATCTCCCTCGTAAGTTCCCTCAAGTGATTGGATCTGTAAAGAGATTGTTCAGTATCCATCATGTCTTCTTTTTCTAAGACACAGTGGATAGTCGCCAGTAAGAGGATGAGCCCCAAATGCGATTTGAAGGTCGGGAGCACTAGAATCAAGCAGGCGCGGAAGTTTAAATAACTCGGAAGCTTCTTGACAGGGGACGGTAAATGCGATACTGAGATCCGTAGGCGTATTGGGATGGCCAAGGAGACATTCCAAAATCTGAACAGAGTACTGCAAGACAGGATGATATAATTTGGTAATAAAGAAAAGAATACTGAACTGTTACGTGACATATGACCTTCTTTACGACAGCGAATGTTGGACGATTTCCTCAAAGATGAAGAAGAGACTCCTGGCGACGGAGATGTGATTCTACAGAAGGATGCTAAGAATAACATGGGCCGAGCGTGTGAGCAACGATGAGGTCTTATAGAGGTTGCAAACAAGGAGGAGGCATATACCTAATATCAGGAAGAGGAAGCTTAAGTTTCTGGGACGTATAAGGAGGGTCCGGAGAATCTGATACTCACGGGTCGAATAGAGGGAAAGAGAGACAAGGGAAAACAATGCGTGGTATACCTGGTGGACTTAAGCAAGTGGATGAGAGAACGTGGTCTGGGGGGAGGAAGCAGAGGGAAGGAACTTGTTGAGAGCTGGAGGGGATAGAAAGAGGTGGAGAGCCATCATCGCCTACGCCCTGAAAGGACATGGCACATAAAAAGAATCCACTTCCCTGATATGTGAGAATATTAAGCGGTAACCCCTTATCCGCTGTTTTAATGTCCAGCGGTATCACTTAAGCGCGGTAAAAAATTAAAAAAAAAAAAAACAGAAATTAACAATTTGGGAATTTTGCATAGAAAATGACCATTTTGGGGCTTTTGAGATGATCTGAAAGAAAGAAGGCACGTTCTTTAGAAGGATAAAGGAATTTTGCCGGGATGTAGTGCTTCTCTGTGGCCTACCGGTCTAAAGAACAATGATGAGGAAGGAAGGCTTGGAGAATCTGATACTCACGGGTCGAATAGAGGGAAAGAAAGACAAGGGAAAGCAACGCGGAGGACTTATGCAAGTGGATGACAGAACGTGGTCTGGAGGAGGAAGCAGAGGGAAGGAACTTGTTGAGAGCTGGAGGGGATAGAAGGAGGTGGAGAGCCATGATCGCCTGCGTCCTGACAGGACATGGCACATGAAAAGAAAGAAAGAAATTACTGATTATATTTGTTTGTTTTTTTTTTAAATTTAACTTGAGTGAAAGGAGGGCCTAGAGAATCTGATACTCACAGGTCAAATAGAGGGAAAAAGAGACAAGGGAAAACAACGCATGACATACCTGGCGGACTTAAGTAAGTGGATGACAGAACGTGGTCTAGGGGAGGAAGCAGAGGGAAGGAACTTGTTGAGAGCTACAAGGGATAGAAAGAGGTGGAGAACTATGATCGCCTCCGTCCTGAATGAACATGGCACATAAAAAGAAGCAATGTGCCAACTCCTTTCAGGCGGCACGGGTGATTAGGGTTTGCCATTATTTCCTATTCCTCTTGACTGAGTTTGTCTTTTTTACTATCATTTTCATGACCCGCTCTCCCGTCCATTTACAGAAGATCCCTAGGCAGGTTACTCATTATTTTTCTTCTGTCTCCCTCGTCTTCATGGCTTACGGCCGCATCACGATAAAACACCGGTCCCCGTATGATTACCGAAGTCGAACCTTGTCAGTAGCTATACGTGTGGCCGTTTGGGAATACCAAGAGCAGCAAGCTTGGAAGCGCGGGTGGTGTTATGTATAATCGCTCGGAATTCTTGATCGGAGTGTTGAGTTCCAATTCCAATTGGGTTCGTTTGTTTGTCTCTCTTTCTCTTGTTTGTCTTTATTTCTCTTTTCTGTTTGTCTCTGTCTGTCTCTCCTGTCTGTCTTTCGTTTTTCTTTTTGTCTCTCTTTCTCCTGTTTGTCTTTCTTCCTTTTGTTTGTCTCTCTTTCTCCTGTTTGTATGGCTCTCTCCCTCTCCCTTCTTCTGTATGTTTCTCATTTTCCTGTTAGTCTTTCTCTGTCTTTCCTGTTTGTCTCTTCGTCTCCTGTTTATCTATCCTTCTCCTGTTTGTCTCTCTTTCACCTTCTGTCATGTTTGTTCGACTTCTTCCTATCATTCTCTTAGTTCTGTTTGTCTCTCTTTCTCCTGTTTGTCTCTCTCTTTCTCACTCTCTCTGTCATTTTTGTTCCTATTTTTCTCTCTTTATCCTCTTTACCTCTCTCTCCTTTCTGTTTGTCTCTCTTTTTCCTGTTTGCCTCTCTTTCCTCTGTTTGTCTCCCTTCCTCATGTTTGTCTTTTTTTCACCCGTTTGTCACTTTTTCTTGTTTCTCACGCTCCTCTGCTTACCCCCGCTCTCTCTCTCTCTCTCTCGCTTTCTCTAATGTATGTCTGGTTTTCCTGTTTGTTACTCTTTCTCCTTGTTGACTCTATTTTTTTCTGTCTCAAAGAAAGCTTTGTATTTCTGTGAGAGATGGCTAGAATGATTTTGTTTGTTTTTTTTTTTTTAAAAAAAAAAACGGTGTGGGTCAAATAAGACTTCTGCGAAATTAAATGACAAAGAAGACACAGCTGAAAAGAAAAAAATATTAATGTCCTTTTTCAAAGAGAATGATTATATATCCCGTCAAAATACAGAGAAGGTTTAAGTCAAATCCAAAACGGAAAATATCACGTCAAAGCGAACATTTTTGATAAAGCGTCCGATGTGTCAATCTTACTTCAGAAAGTGACGTCACTCCTACACTTCTCTTCTCTTCGCTATGCCTGCTGGGATCAAATTCGGATCGGAATCCGACAGAACGATAAGATAAAATACAAAGAGGAAACGTTTATTCCTATCTGACATATTTCACTTTTATTAAAGCTTCATCAGAGTCTGACACATTGAAAAAAAGAAGAAATAAACTCTGGTATCTTTACTATTGTGTCATTTGATTTTCATTGGTCAATCATTTACCACGTGCATTTGAATCTTTTAAATCAATGTTAGTATAATTTGTGGAGTTCCGAATTCAAGGAAAGACGACGCGTCCATTCGAAATTTCCAGAAATTAACGTATTCCTAAACCGTAATTATTGTTGTATGTATGTACACACTTGTGCAAACAACCGTTTTAGGTTCCTTTCTCTCACCATACGGTCAGTTTTAGACCCAGTAGAGTGACAAGGTGCAGTCGATTTCAATTTTTTTTTTTTTTTACTCAGATTAGGTCATTTGCAGCGATGTGCAGTAATATGAATCTGTTTTCGGGGTGTATGATGAAATTTGTTTGGCCTTGAAAAATGTTGCGTCATCCGTGATTGCATCGAATTTTCATCACGCCTAGACACTATTGTCTCGACTGTCGATTAATTGTACTACGACCATTGTTTGCGAAGGACGTTACGGCAAGTAGGGTTACAAATATTGTAATGCTGCACGAACACACTGGTAAACCTTACGAATGAGCAAATCAAAGTACTATAGACTGGCCCGGAAACTCTCTTGATTTAAACCCAATCGAGAATTTGTGGTCAATCTGCAAGGAACAACTTCTTGGACTGGACATACGAAGTACTAATATGTGCCCTGGGGCATGTTTCATTTGAAAAATACGAAAAAATAAATAATAAGGGTATTATTCGTTTTGTTTCAGTTAATTTGCACAAGAGTGTAATTATGCAAAACTTCAAGTTTCTGTATGTGGCAATTAGACGATAATGTATATTCGTAAGTGCGTGTACATAGTATGCATTATAGTTGTCGTTTGGAACGTTTCTACATACATTCCGTTTGTTTTAGATAAGTATACGTTGGATTCCTTAAAATAGATTCAATAAAGGTTGTTTATACATTATTCGGACTATTTTCCATCTTCGTCGTCATATTTATTACGCTTCTTCAGGTGATTAGAATGTCGAATTGAACGCTTTATTTCCCTCACTAGTTTAATGGATGTCAGTTATTGCCTGTTAATTTCCTTCGCCACTGCGTTAACCGGATATTGAACTCACACTCTTTGGGTCCTGTCACTGGATCTAACCAACGCCTTTATCAGCTGCGCCATGTGTCCTTGAGGATTTCTGTGTATGAATTTCTGGGTATTATAAATCTAATGTCTTCAGCAACCATTTTTACCAGTGTTCCTACTGCAATTTTTGCTGTTATCATTCATGTTTTTACCAGAGCTCATATTTCAATTTTTGTTGTTATTATCGCTTTCCTGTGGCACTCCTTATTACTGGTTCATGTTGTATTCATTTTTATGCTTGATCGGCTCAGGAGATTTTTATGTCCTAGCATATGTACTGATTCTTTAAGTTTACGAATTTTCCAATGATGTTCTTTGAATGGTTTCCTAAATGTGCATCTCTTTTGTGTTCGTAGATAATTACTTTCAAATCACGTGATGTCACCCCAATATAAAGTTCTTTACACTGAATTCGGAACGCCCAAAATTATACTAATGGTGTTTTAAATAGTCAAATGCAAGTGGAATGTGATTAACTAATGAAAAGCAAACAGTACAAACGTAAAAATACCAGAATGTCTTTCTTTTTTTCTCCATATCCCATTCTCTGATGAACCTTTAATAAAAGTGAAATATGTTAGATTTATAAACGTTTACTATTTTTTTCTTAATCTAATCATGCCTACAAATTACCACAGACACACACACAGACACACACACAGTCACACACAACACAGACACACACACACAGACACACACACACGTAGGCAGCAATCCTTCTATTATATAAGTTTCATTAAAACATCTGACAAAGTAAGGCGGGTATTTTTTTTCTTTTATTTTATTTTTATGTTCTTACAAAATTCTATTTTTCTGAACATAAAATATATAGAAATCAATAAGTTGCTTCTCTCTCTCTCTTTCTTTCTCTCTCTCTCTCTTTCTTTCTCTCTCTCTCTCTCTCTTTCTCTCTCGCTCTCTCTCTATCTATCTATATATATATATATTATGGTTGTCTGTTTCTTAATTTAATATATATTTTAAAGTTGCCGGTTTTTATATATATATATATATATATATATATATATATATATATATATATATATATATATATATATATATATATATATATATATATATATATATATCTGTCCGTTGGGCACCTCTTAGCGGTGGAATGTTTAACAAGCTTGTCTTGCTTGAACAATTACGACTAAATACTGAGTTCCATCCTCATTGGGAGCCCCCTACTTTCGGCTTTGGACCAAATCTAATCAATGCTTGGAAAATCACTGTTTACGTATATCTAGCTAACTAGCAAGCTAATCGCGGTCTGTCCGTCTCTCTCTCCGTCTGTTCTATAACTATTTTAGTCTGTTCATATCTATCTATCTATCTATCTATCTATCTATCTATCTATCTTTGTCTGTTTATGTATCTATCTATCTATCTATCTATCTATCTATGTCTGTTTTTCTATCTATGTCTGTTTATCTATCTATCTATCTATCTATGTCTATCTATCTATCTATCTATCTATGTCTGATTTTTATCTGTCTCTCTATCTATCTATCTATCTATCTATCTATCTATCTATCTATCTATCATTGTCTGTTTATCTATCTATCTATCTATCTATCTATGTCTATCTATCTATCTATGTCTGTTTTTTATCTATCTATCTATCTATCTATCTACGTCTGTTTTTCTATCTATCTATCTTTGTTTATGTATCTATCTATCTCTCTATCTATCTATCTATGTCTGTTTTTTATCTATCTATCTATCTATCTATCTATCTATGTCTGTTTATCTATCTATGTCTGTCTATATATCTATCTATCTATGTCTATCTATCTATGTCTGTTTTTTATCTATCTATCTATCTATCTATCTATCTATGTCTATCTATCTATCTATGTCTGTTTTTTATCTATCTATCTATCTATCTATCTATGTCTATCTATCTATCTATGTCTGTTTTTTATCTGTCTATCTATCTATCTATATATCTGTCTGTTTATCTATCTATCTATCTATGTCTGTTTATCTATCTATCTATATATATATATATATATATATATATATATATATATATATATATATAATGTCTGTCTGTCTATGTCTATATGTAACACTACCTTAATCTTTTGAAATATGCTTACCACATGATTGTTTAAATGTTTCTGTCATGTTTTTTTCTGTGGTTGGGGAAGAATCTACAAGAGGGGGAATCTTTCAGCTTTAACGATTTAGAATTGTCAAGTCTAAAACTTTCCTTCTCTGATAAGCTAAATATTTAGAATTCAGCATGGAAAAAAAAAACCTCGTTGTCGAAATTTGAAATATTTTCCCCTTTTTTACGTCGTTGAATTTACCTTGTTTTTTGGGTTTTTTTTTAAAATCAAAGTAAAAGACAAAATATTACACACACACGCGCACATATATGTTATGGTCCGATTCCTTGTACCACGGTGATAGTCCAAGGTAGAACCAATAAAGAAGAACTCGAACACAGATATGGAATAACACAGATATATTACAAACAGGAATATATACAGAGAAGTAGAAGTGTTAGTATGAACAATCAGGTTTAGTAGAGAGAACAATGTAGTCTCGACCAGTATCACAATTCCAATGTCTTGCAGTAATTGTCTGAACGCGACTCTGTTTCGGACTGCCTCTGATTCGACTCTTGACTCGACTTGAACTACTGACTCTACTTGAACTACTGATGATATTCAGTCATCCCCCCCACGAGGGCGTCATGTAGCACAAGGCCTTTTTAACATGGGATCTCCGAGCCCGTGGGCTCGGCCAAAAATATGCCCATTGAACCCGTATAAACGGGTTCAGGGCCGGTTTTACCTCCCCATAGGAGACTCCGCCCTTCGGCGTAGCCTCCTTCGGGTTCCTCCCGCCCGTAGGAAGAGAGTTTAACCGAACAGTCGCTCAGAAAGTGAGCGACTGACTGACAATATTCAGTCTCCCCCCGACGTCGGTTATTTATTGTGGGTTTTCCCGAGCCCGTGGGCTCGGCCTCAAAATATGCCTATTGAACCCGTAAAAACGGGTTCAGTGCCGGTTTAACCTCCCCGAAGGAGACTCCGCCCTTCGGTGTAGCCTCCTTCAGCGTAGCCTCCTTCGGGTTCCTCTCCGTCCGTAGACAGAGAGTTGAACCGTTCTGTCGTTCAGAAAGTGAGCGACTGACTAACGATATTCAGTCACCCCCCCCCAACGAGGGTGTCATGTGGCACAAGGCCTTTTTAACGTGGGCATTCCCGAGCCATTAGGCTCGGCCAAAAAATAGCCCATTTGAACCCGTATAAACGGGTTCAGGGCCGGTTTTACCTCCCCGAAGGAGACTCCGCCCTTCGGCGTAGCCTCCTTCGGGTTCCTCTCCGTCCGTAGACAGAGAGTTGAACCGTTCTGTCGTTCAGAAAGTGAGCGACTGACTGACCCCTTGCCTACTCCTGAGGCGCAGTATTTCTTAAGTATGGAATTGTCCATTATTATTATTATGGATAAGATCCCATAACAATATACATACATTTTTTGGTACGAGTGTTTAGACCTGCCATAAATAAATGCTGGAATTTAAGTTTATCCAGGAAGTTCTATTTCTATTAAATGGTGTAAACAATCAATAAAACGTTAAACATGAACTTGTAAACCAGACGGATGATGAGACGAACGAATTGAAATATTTAACTGAATCATAATTAGATTAACTTTCATTTCAATGGAATGTTGAAATCTACTGCAATGTTTTATAACCTTAACAGTTAGTGCTCCTGTGGTTTAGTTATTCCTAGCAGCATGGCCCGGCGTTGCCTGTGCTTGATTCAAAAATCGCACGACTCATAGAGCAATCGCTATCACTTGACTTAAAATATTTTTGCCCTTCTTTGCCTTTAAAGGAGTGCCCTTTTCCGCGCTGATGTTGCTACATGCCTTACTTCTTGCCTATCTCACACTGCGAATTTTTTCTAAGCTCTATACTAAACATTAAATCTGTTACGAAAAAAGAACTAAACAAAATGAACACAAAACGATCAGCTTTGAAAAAGGACTCGTAACTGGAAAAACCGAATGAAAAAAGAATGTTAACAACAAATACTTTTTCACATCCAACCCAGTTCTGCGGAATCAGAATCAACGTTGAGTTTAAACAAGTGAATGAGCCAATTGTAGTAAAGTGCCATGCAGATTTAAATTTTTCCAACTTGTGATGAATGCAGCTATCGATTTTTTTTGCATGCTAGTTAAAATTCGTGTCAGTCAGCTGTTTGCTCTCATGCTGGCCAATAGAATCTTCCTGCCTATTCGTGGAAACCAGCTATAGGCTCTCACTCTGGCCATTAGAAAATGACCGAAAACTACATGAAAACTGCCGTAGAAGCATGAAAAACTCGATTATTTCCACTATCGATGGGAGTTGGGAAATGCAAAGTCGGTGTTGGCCTTCCCGCTAACTTGGAGCATGTGCATGTAAATTTTGCTGCAAAGCCGTTGAAAATTGCGGCCGTGCATCCGTAACACACACACACACACACACACACACATACACACACACACACACATCCTGCCTTTTATAGATGGAGATTATCATTATGTGTGGTATCATCATGCCTGAGTGTATTCCAAGTGGCAAATTGCCAAGTCCTTTCCGGGGTTTATGAGTAAAAATGGGCACGATAGGAGAGTTACCTATTCATATTTGGGGCGTTTCTTTTACAGAGAGAGTGTTTGAGGATAATATGTGTAGTTTCACACAAAGTAATCTTTTCTAGCTCTAAGATGCTGATGTGTCCAGGAATTGTACTCACATGATTTTCGGGGTCATTCTTTATCAAACCCAGTGCCCCAATCACAAGAGGGATAATCGTAGTTTTAAATTTCCACATTTTTGTTGCTTCGATTTGCAGGTCCTTACAATTTCACTTTTTTTTTAAATTCTTTTCTTAGAATTTTTGTAATCCATTAGGCAAGCCATATCAAGTAGTTGGCAGGTTCCTTTTTTGAAATCTTTTATTATTATTATCATTATTATTATTATTATTTCTTTTGATTCTGGCGTTTACACATTTCTTTCCGGGTCCCGCCCAGGGACCTATGGTTAGAAATGGCATCATGACACTTTCCACTGACAAAAAAAAAATATATTACATAGATAAAGCCCTTCGTAAAGTGTGAGCTGTACTTGTCAGAACAATTATTTGTATCTCCTTGAGGCATGGACTTCCAGGAATCCCTTCAGTTAGTCTACTGCAATCTTTTGCAACCAGTCCTAGGGCTCCAACTACAACAGGGATTGTTGATGTTCCCATATGCCACATTTTTTAGATTTCTATTTCAAAGTCTTTGTATTTTGACAGCTTTTTGAATATCTTCAAAGATACATTGCAGTCTGCAGGGACTGCCATATCAATAAGGAGGCACCGTTTTTGTTTCTGGTCTCTATTATTATTATTATTATTATTATTATTACTATTATTATTATTATTATTATTTATTTATTTATTTAGCTCTTTTTTTTTTTTTTTTTTTTTGATAATTTCATACCCAACCGCTTCTTCTGTAGTTTTTTGTCCGAATTATAAAAATAACATTTTTTTCATGTATTTGGATTTGGTACCAACGTAATTTCGGTGTCTGCCATTTACTTAAGGTGAGTGATTGGAATAAAAATCTGTCCTATTGTCATTTGAAATAGGGAGATTAGAAAAGATCAAAGTAATACATGTACATAAGTACAAAAATAGATAAATAAATAATACTTATGATTGCTCAAAGGAATGAAACATTTAAAAAAAAAAAACTCCCAGTCGTATAATCTTTTAAGCGTACCGCTAAAATACACGGTTGACAAATCGTGACATGGCGGAAGCTTCCAGTACGGAAATTTGGAATAACATTCACGTTTTTTTGTATTTGCTTCGACATTTTGTATCTGTCATGTATAAAATTATTTTTTGTATGGAGCAAATTTAATTCTGTTTTTAAACGAAAGGACGAAAGGAGTTGCCTACTATGACGATATGCTTACATCAGTATATCTGATGAGTCAACCACAGGCAGCTTTATAGACATTTATGGAGTCGTTGAGCAAAAGAAAAACTAAGAGAAACACATAAAAATATCGTTTAACAGATATTTTCCTTTAGTTTCAATACACTTTTTATTATTACTGTTATTTTATCAAAAGAATTATCCCATTGGATTACCGTGGTTTTTAGTTACAAATCTCTTCATAATTACTATTTTATTACGAGTTTGACTTTTATCTTATTAATGTTACTTTTCTATCCTAAGACTATGGGTTAATATATTCTTCTTTATTACATATTATTATAATACTAGTTTTAAACCATTTTATTATTTTTTGTGATATATCCCATCTGCCTGAATCAACACATTTTTCATTATTACTCCTCTTTTAATATTAGTGTTAATCTATTTAAACTACTGTGCTATCTATCTTAAGTCTCTGAGTCCATACACACTGCATTATTGCAATTATTTTATTACTAGATTTATTTCATGTTATTATTGGTACTTTCCGCCAGAAATCTTTGGGAATATATCTACGTATACATATATATATATATATATATATATATATATATATATATATATATATATATGCGCCCGTGTGTACCTGCCTGCGTGAGTTGTGTTAAGCTAAATTTAGAATGAGAGAAAGATAGATATAATCCCTGCTTCTGTTAATGCATATATATATATATATATATATATATATATATATATATATATATATATATAGAGAGAGAGAGAGAGAGACCAAGAGATAGATATAATATTACTTCTATCTCAGTTAGTTCAAATATAGAGATATAATCCCGTTAATATATATATATGTGTGTGTTTTGTGTACAGAGAGTATAGATAGATAGACAACAGCAGACTGAGATAGATATAATATTGCTTCTATCTATCTCAGTTAGTTCAGATAGATTTAATCCCGCTTCTGTTAATATATATATATATATATATATATATATATATATATATATATA